GAGATCAACTAAGATGGGCGGTAGGATTACTTACTGGACACTGCCACCTAAAAGGGCACCTTTTCAAACTGGGACTGACAGATGACCCAACCTGTGAAAGGTGCCTACAAGAAGAAGAAGAATCAGCCACACATCTTATGCGATTGTGAGGCCATAGCTTACTTAAGATTTCACCACCTGGGTCAGTTCTTCATGGAACCAAGTGACTTTTATGACGCTCCCATAACTAAAGTCCTAGATTTCATTCGAAGTGTAGAATTAATAAAGGGTTAATCCAAAGGGGAAGCACAATGGATCACTGAAGGTCGCGGCGCAAAGACTGGATTTTATGGCCCACCCCTCATTCTCATAAACAGTAGGTAGGAGTCCTTGGACAGGGGGATCAGACTGTTAAAAGGCCACTACCTACACACAGAAGAATACAAACAAAGAACAAATGCACACATATATTCCTTTAATGGGATTCAAACCCATGATCCGAGCATCTGAGCAAGCGAACACAGTTCACGCCTTAGACCATATAGCCAATGTGATAGGCTTACATTACTCTACCCATCAAATAATGTGATATCTGAAAAACACTCTGGTCCTTCACAGCTGAAAAGAGATTCAGTTCCTAAAGCATAACTCATCACGTGCCTTGCAAAGAAATCATTATGAATATTTTAAAAATATCATGACTGAATGCAAAACCCTTCTAAAGGCATCTACATTCCCATATGCACATAGCTGGCGATCCCTGCTCTATGGCTATCACTTCAGAAGGAACAAAATTAACATATATCATAAATTAATCTGTGATTTTGACATATTACATAACTAATAATGCCAATCATCTTACCACTGCAATACTGCATGTAGCATTCCTCATACCTTTCATTAGTTTCACAAGTGAATTCGAACACAAAAAAATACACTATAACAGTTAACAGGTTTACAGAGACACAAACGCTGTGGCACTTACCTTCTATCTTGTGATTAAGTTCGAGGATGTGTTCAAAATTTATCATGATATTTTTCACTTCATGGGCTGCTTAACATGTTCTACGGTGTTTAAAATTTCATGCACAAAACTTCCTGACTCAGAAAAATAACATACTTGACAGACGCACACATGCGTTTTAAGAGACAGTGAGATAAAAACTACAAAAGCTATCACCAAGTGCACATATTCTCAGAGGAAATACAGAGGACATGCTTCTGAGTGGTTGGTAGTGGAGTCCAGCAGATATGGTGGGGTGTCCACATAAGTGCCCAGAAACAAACAGGAAGACAGGTTCCCAGGGGTTTCAAAATACAGGTGTCACTCAATTTCTGAAAGTGATTCCACGAGAACTCAGTAAGGTGAAAAGGGATAAATCATGGTTAGTCGCTGGCTTCCCACCACAGTGGCCCAGGTTCGATCCCGGGTCTGGTCAAGTGGGATTTGTGGTGGACAAAGTGGCACTGGGGCTGGTGTTCTCAGAGTTCTTCAGTTTCCCTTGCCAATCTTCATTCCACCAAATTCTTCATCACCATAATCAACCAGGGCAGGCTACAATAGGCCAATCAGACGCCACTGTGGCGAGTGGACCCAGTTGGACTCCAGCCCCCACTAAGTGATTCAAAAAAAAAAAAAAAAAAGGCATAGATCAAACAAGATATTCGCATTACTTTAATTACTTTGTGTGTAAAAGTCGCCGACTCATTTACGAGTCCCAGAAAAATTCCCCTGGCATTTTTAACCACATTTTAATAGTAAATAAATGTAAAGGTATAAGGTAAAGTTGTCCTTGTGCTCTACTAATTAAGCACATACCATGAAGGTGTATGGGGGAGTGTATGTATAGATCCACATTTCCTTGACCTTGGGGCTTCACGCCCCAGCAGCAGAGAAAGATCCCCCGGTACCCTTTATATAGGAGGCTGAGTAGGCCCCAGAGACAGTCTGGACAATGTGGAGGAGAGAAAATTCTTGACCCTACCAGGACTCAAACTCTGACACCTCGGTTGTCCGGCCTGTAGCCAGTCGGTATACCGACTGCGCTATCCCGGATCCTAGTAAATAAGGGTTAAAATATTTATTTTCTCATAGCTGCTACAATGCAATGATGCAGTCTGCAGCAAAACCTACTACTGTCCTCACTTCCTGCGTCTTATCAACACCTTTCACTTAATTGGGAGCCATGTTTGGCACAATTAACAGATATTTATAGATAAATCATGCATGCTCATAACCCTGGATCAATAATGGCATGAGTTCACAGACTTTGAAGATGAGAAATGGTTGGGACATCTGCTTCTCCCAATGTACTGTGTTTGTCACTTCTCTGCCCACATCAAAACAAAATACAGACACAGGTTGTTCACAGTAGCAAAAATTTAAGTCCATTAAGTGAAAAATAAGTACAAATTAACACACTTCACTGTAGTGAGAATTTGTAAAACGGGGATACTTATGCAGGAACATCCTCCTCAGGGTCAGGGGGCTTGTCCAAACAAGGCAGCAAAATCAGATTAGCAGTCTAATGAGGTCAAACCTATTGCTGAAAGACCCAGATATGTCACATTTCAAGACTGCTGGAAAACGACAGTAAAGACTGCAAGATTCATACTCTTGAAGATGAAATATGCATGCCCTGGGGAACAAGGAGTATAAGGAGAAGGAATAAGAGATGATGATGTGCAAAATGTGAGGGATGTAAGCAGCTTCTTTTTACACTTATCACCAAAATCAACACTGTACAAGATCCGAGCTGATGAACGCACTGTGCTTCAACAGAATGTAAACAAACCTGGAGAATCTGCGGTGACCACTCTTTTGTTTTCAGGTCCATCATGTTCATGCCAGACGCATCTGCATAATCTATAGGTGCATAGTCGCCAACAAACAGCGAACATGCAAAACTGCTTATTAAAGAAATCCTCTGTAACATGAAAACAAGATCAAGTTTGGAACATTTACACCACAGTCATTATTACTAACTACTTCCAGCCTGCTTGAATGTAGTCATGTGTTTCTGCTTGGTGACTTTATGGCTACGATGCACAAAGACTCTGCTTACCTTCACATGTGCAACACATTTCAGCTAGAATCTATGAAATTAAAGTGCTTCTTCATATTCTACACATATTCTATATGTCTACAAACACTTTTTCCATGCAACAATTGCCAAAATGTGAAGAAAACTTCTGACTAATTGACATGCAGCAAAAACTAAGGAAGATTTTTCTGAATAAAATGCATGTCACAGTATATCAGTAGATAAAACTGTGGTCTGTTCCTGATTTAGAAGTAAATATCCAAGAAAAGTAATAGAAAATTTATTTCAAAGATTGCAGACATGTCACTTACCTCAGTATTGTTGTACACAGCCTTCTTTGTCTGGTAAACCTTTGCAATCTGTGATCCTGTGAACCTCTCATATGCCCGTGAACCTGTAATCTCTGCTAATTTCTGCAAATCAAAACCAGAAACAATTTACTCAAAGAACCGCAATAACTATATTCAAATACTATTAAAACCAAATGTTACACAGCAACACTTCCAAAAGCACTGAACATTAAGACCATGGTTCTGGGACATGATGCCATGTAGTTTGCTAGATGGTTACCAACGTTTCAGAGGAAATTGTTGCCTCAAAGTTCAGAGTAGCCTCAAGCAACAGGTTCCTCCAAAATATTCATAACCAGTTACGATACTAGACAATGTTATGACAATCAAAACCTAAATTTTTAAAAACCAACACTTTTACCCTTCATTCTCTGCTGTCTGTGAAGAAGAAATTTAATGTCCCACTATTACAGTACTGCTTGCAGAACCTTAACTTCCAGGTAACATAGAAGCATGCCACAAGGATAAGAAAGGCTATGCACCTTAGCAAGTACTCATACACACCTCAGGGCCCCCAACTGCATTTTCCAGTTGCTGACACTGTTCTGTTGTGCTGGAATCTTGCCATATGGGGGAATCAGCCAATGAGAATGCATCTCTCAACTGGTCATGCAGAAACCTGTTTGGCTGCAGTGATTGGAGCTTCTGATGTACCCCTTTCTGCCAGTACACAGAGCCATGCTGCTGCAGAGACCAGATGCACATATACATCAATATTTTAATATTGGCTAAGCCCTTACAGAACTACATGCACTACCTGTTTCGACATTCAGAAACTGTGCATTCTGCTCACACAGTGTATTTGTGTGTTCCATATTGTTCTCACAATAAACAATGACTGTTTCCCTACACAGCATTAACCGGTTGGGCTTTGTAGTGGAGACATAATGTGTTTCCTGTGAGGTATGTACTGAACTCTGCATTCTGCCCACACAGTGTATTTGTGTGTTCCGTATTGTTCTCACAATAAACAACGACTGTTTCCCTAAACAGCATTAACCGGTTGGGCTTTGCAGTGGAGACATAACGTGTGTCCTGTGAGGTACAGACTGAACTCTGCATTCTGCCCACACAGTGTATTTCTGTGTTCCGTATGGTTCTCACAATAAACAGCGACTGTTTCCCTAAGCAGCATTAACCAGTTGGGCTTTGTAGTGGAGACGTAATGTGTTTCCTGTGAGGTATGAACTGAACTCTGCGTTCTGCCCACACAGTGCATTTGTGTGTTCCGTATGGTTCTCACAATAAGCAGTGACTGTCTCCCTACACAGCATTAACAGGTTAGGCTTTGTAGTGGAGACGTAATGTGTTTCCTGTGAGGTACGGACTGAACTCTGCATTCTGCCCACACAGTGTATTTGTGTGTTCCGTATGGTTCTCACAATAAAAAGGAACTGTTCCCCTACACAGCAATAACCAGCTGGGCCTTGTTATGAAAGTAAAGTGAGAAGATTTGCTCGCTTCTGGGACAAAAAATTGTTTAGTCTGATAGGATACTACCAGTATTTCGGGGTAAGCTGTTGTTTCCATCTTCAAGGCACTCATCTACCCTGAAGATGGAGGTGGTCAGCTCCTCTGAAGAAACATTGGTAACATTCTATCAGACTACAAAGTGTCACACCACATAAGGCAGGATCTTTACACAGTAAAAGGAAAGGAAAGGACCTGAACACTGAACTGAGGAAAATCTAGAATGAAGGTAAGTAATCACCAGGACCCAGATTTTGATGACATGTCATCTTTTTTCCCTTGTATCCTATGCGATGCTCTTAAATATATAAATCTTGGATATGAGCTGCTGGTTACAGAAATGTAAATTTTATAGGTAATTTTTTTGTCGTTTTTAGGTTTAAGGTCATTTTTTTCATTTTGGGGGTAATTTTGATAAATTTTTGGACTTTTAAGGGTATTTCTTGCCATTTTAGGCCATTTTAGGGAATTTTTCTTCATGTTTTCTGAAATGTGAATAACATGGAAGCGAAGTGTTCTTTCTTTTCCCCTTTAAGTCATTTTTCTGCATTTTTCCAGTCATTTTTTTAATATTTTCAGGTCATCAAAATCCAGGCCCTGCATATTACATTTTGCGGTCACATTTTAGGTCATTTTTCTGGATTTTTTCAGTCATTTTATAGGTCATTTTTTAAATATTTTCAGGTCATCAAAATCTGGGCCCTGGTAATCACACAGATTATTGACTTATCTCTTGGAAAGAGAATGTTAATGTATTCACTCTCATGAGAAACTTGTATGTATTTGAAAGACACAAAATTTCTCAGGAACCAATCTGCCCCAATTTCAAAATACTGCTCAGACTTGTGCAACTAGCACTTTCCATTATGCATCTACTCTGAATGCATTATGTTCTGGAAAATATAATATGATGCTTCAGTGCAAGATAGAAGTATGACTTACCTGGGCTGTACCTGACAGTGAAGCTACTCTGCTGAAATCAACACCAGCTATTTTCAAACGATCTAACAAAAGGTCCAGAGCTTTCACCCACATCAAGACTGGTGCCGTAACTGTTCGCCCATCCTTGTGTATTGTCACCCCTGACATGGTCCTTCAACATATAATGCTACTGTAAGCAGTCAGCCAAAGTGCATGTATTCAATATTTTGCAAATTTATTATAATTCTAACATCCTACAGAAAACACAATGCATATTAGACATAATGCCAAAAAATACTGATTTTTATTTGTGGTTTATTTATTGACGTTTCAGTCACAGGAACTTGTATTTATGTATCTTCACAAGGAGGAACATTATAGGTTTTGTTAACTTTATATCTGTTTTGTAGGCTTACTTTTTTACATACAGCTGATAGATTCTTCAAAAATGTGGTGAAGTTCAAATACTGGGATACAACAGTAACAAATCAAAATTTCATTCATCAGGAAATCAAGAGTGAATTCAGGTAACGCTCACTTTCAGTTCAGAAACTTTCATCTTCTTGCCTGCCGTCTGTGGGTTAAGATGGCCGCAGCTGCTCACTGGTTAAGGGTTAAGTTAGACGCAGCTGCTCACTGTGAATCGCCTTATAGTGACTCCAGAGGGCCAGGAGAAGCATAGCCTCACCTTTCGCTGTTTAACAACTCTGGTGTTCTGTAGTGTGGTGTACTGGGCGCCACTCAGTAGAGAACATGACACTTTCCCAGGGTCGTTAAGTGGGTCTTGGCTCCAACAAGACGGTCAACAAAAGCCACAACAAATTTAAAAACACTCACACTTTATTTTCGTTAAGGTTATATAATTTATTACACTTGTACTCAGGACTTGTACTCCTTTGTCCCTTTGTGTGAAGGCGAGACGTTCACAAACACGTCTTCACTGTTCAGAATCTGGTTCGCGTATCTCTTGGAGCTTCACATGATGATAGACTACCATTAGCATGATGTCATACTAGGAACCTAGCAAGCTGGTTGACTATACACTGGGAAGTACCGTGCTAACTAACTTATGAAGCTTACATCATGTTTTACTGAACAGAGGTAGAGCCCCTAAATTATCAGCTTCATAAGAACTCATGTGACACTGAGTCATCCCCACTTAATGTATGGCTTCTAGCATGATGCAGTGCATGATGATTTATGCAATTCCGCAATTCATAATTTAAGTTTTGTTGAAATATGATAATCATATAAAAAATGTGTACATAAATTAGGTGAAGTATATTATTAAAAAAGATTAATCAGTTATAGTAAGAATGATATGTTATTTGGAAAGCTGTTGCTACTTTGCAGTACTATAATTGAACTTACTTCATGGGACAGAGGAAAATGAAACACAAGCCCTACCACTTGTCTGCTACATGTGGTAACAACAGTATCGAGCAGGATCCATGGAAGAATACACACATAATTTTCATACTCACCTAAATTCCGGTAAATCAGTATCAAATTGAACAGCCGCATTGTTGAGAATTTGTAGATCACTGTTTAACTCTACAGCCTTTAACTGAAACAAAAAAAAAAATCTAAATGCAAATACAAAGAGATTACTGAGCCATGTCTTTTAGAATTTTTGCACCAAAAAATTTGCAAAAATGCACCAATTAGCTTTGTCAGGTCTGTCTGTCTGTCTGCTGCTGGGAACCAAAAAAAAATATTTTTATGAAATTTTTGTAGGAGAGTTTTCATAAAATCTTGATGATTCATTTAAATTCTGACTAATATCAGACAATAACAAACCTTTACATGAAGATCTGTGTTCTCGTATGCATCTGGCTGAGCACATATGCTGTTCAATGAGTATTGCCTGCCACTGTGTGACACTTACATTGGCAGAGATGTACAAAACTAAGCAACAAATAATGGACAAACTGCTTCTTGACATAATCCTCAAAGTGATCAAGATATTTGGTCAATGATACACATGAACTAGCCGGTCACGGTAGCCGAGCGGTCTAAGGCATGTACTGTCTTCGCTCACTTGGAAACTGGGATTATGGGTTCGAATCCCACTCAGGGCATGGATGTTTATTTTGTGTGTGTGAATTTTTCTGTGTTTGTGTACAGGTAGAGGCCTTGCAACGAGCTGATCACTTGCCCAAGGAGTCCTACCGAATGTGTAAGATCTAGAAAAACCGATGTGAACAGAGAAGTTCATGGAGGTAGGCCTAGGCCCACTGGGGCTGTAGTGCCAAGGGGGGAAAAAAAAACACATGAACTAAGGTTGGAAGATACACACCATAGCTCAAGAGGTTAGTCGCTGGCTGCCCACCGCAGTGGC